TAATGGGCTTTTAGCAGCACTGAGTCATTTCATTGTACAAAGAACAACCCGCTCTGTGTACTCATTGACTATCCAGTATTATGTGCAGTAACGTATCCAAAAATACACATTTAACTACATTTGTTCATTATTTGTTTATTGATGTTATTTTTCGCTCTGTTTATTCAGGAGAAACAACAACAAATTAAAGTTATGGTCACCGAGTGATATCTTTATGTTTTTTCTTTGCATATACATACACATATACAGTTTGAATAACAAGTCACATTTGGGAGAGATGCATATAATTTAAACAGTAAACAAACACTGACAAACACTGGTTAGAGCTTTACACTCACACGATCTATGTGTGTTCCAATCAATAGCCATCATCAGCGTCACACCACATGTGACATCGCTGCAACATAATTATCTCTCTGTACATGACTATAGCACAACACACTGCATCAAACACAGACCGGCTTGGTCCCAGGTTGCATCAGAATACCATCAACGACGTTACATCTTAGCGTGGAATTGAAGTTCACAGTTAAAACTCAAGTTTGTACAGTACAACATGCTGTGTTTGAGGTCCTGACCACCTTCTCATAAAGAATCAAGGAGATGAAGCCCCCCCCCCAGACAGACGGGACAGTGCAAAAACACAGACCTATTCATCAAGGAGGAGCGAGGTCGTGACCTAAATGACTCACCAGTCGCAGCTTTAACAGCTGGGCTGAGCAGAGATGACATAACGAGGACTAAATCTTTTCGGTTTCCCCTTGAGGCAAAGATGAAAGCGCTTGATGCCTCCATTTCTTTCGCCAACACCCTATCACTTTAAACTTTTCTACTTCCCAGTTCAAAGAATGCACACAGTGCCAAGGACCCATCCCCAGTGAAATATGTGTTCAACAGCTGCAGCTCAATTTGACATCTCATCTCAAAATGATGTAGAGCCACCAGAGGGCGCTAGAGAGCACAACTAATCTGTAAATCAGCTTCTTTCAAGTAAATTCATTGTGTGGTAAACTCTTAGCCTACACTGCTGTTCAAAAGTTGGAGATCGCCGGTCAAAAGAGCTTGATTCGCTTCAGTTAAATTCATGCTTTTAGGTTGGAGAAAGTCCTCTTTACAAATAGATATTATTTTGTATGAAAGGTTTGCAAAGAATGATCATTTTTTGTACCTGGAAAACAAAAACGCTGTACAATTGTTCAACAAGACTGACAACTGAAAGGGCAGAAAAAGACAAAGATCCATCAGAGCAACAGTTGAAAAAGAGTAGAGGAAATGACCCGCCATAAGCTAAAGAAACTGGAAGCTTAGCATCAAAATGTGTGCAGATTTAAATAGGAACAGCTTCCTGTTTCAGTGTCTGGTGCACAACAAAGCCTCCAACAAGCTGGAATACAAACAGTTATGTTGATTCAGCAAAGCTCTTCTTAAAACGTCACAATAGAAATAGAAGGTTAGTCTGGGGTTACATTAGCTCTATTGGAATATCAGCTGAACATGCTATGGCCGGACAAATCAGTTGAAACCTCTTCCACCGAGTTAATAATAATCGAGGGTCACTTATGCTTTTGAGGAATGTAAAATTAATTCAAAATCAAAAGGTTATTTGGAGGAAAAATGGTTCCAACAGTATTCTCCCCCTGGCATGAAAAAACGTGGGGACATCGACTAAACATTTTAATCATTGAAGTTTTAATCATTTAATTCTCATCAAACTTCTTTTGCGAGCCAAACTATTTAAAATGTAAACAATACGTTTGGTGTCTGAATTATTACATTATTGAAGGTAAGAAGAAACACATCAACATAATAGCTGACTTCATACTTCTGAACAGCAGTGCAAGTCTATTTAAACGAGCCCTGCATTAAATGCAGACTGTATGCATTACTAACTACATAGACAGAGCGGACTGCCAGTCAGTGCATATAGTCAGACCCACTGCTGGGGACTTGGAGACTAAATAAGCTACCGAACATACAGGTGACAACACCATTGACAGTAATTACAAACTACCGACAATATATACATTTAAAATAAATATTCTCTGTACAGAAAATTCATTCATTATCATATTTAATTAGATGTCATCATCAGATGTTTCAGATTATGTCTCCCTTGCTCATATTTCTATTGTGTATACTCTACGATAGAAATCAGCAAATAAAACATTGAGAAGAGGAGAAAATGGGGAAAAAGCAGAATTCAAACAGGAGTGGATATACAGACGGAGAGGGAGGAGGATGGATGGAGAGCGTGACGGCCTCAATTAAGACTGGACCATGAGGTCTGGGTATATCTCCGGCTAAGACCAAAAGCCATGAGGGTCTGAACACAAACAGAACTAACTAGGACAGGGGGTTACCCTGCTTGGCAGGGAGAGAACCGGGACCCGACAACGGGGGAAAAGAAATGCAAAGAAGTGCTGCTTACATTTACAGAGAGAGATATAAGAGGGAGAAAAAACAAAGTGCACCCCTTCTCACTTCGGGGATACAGAGTCAAAGTCTCCCCACAGGTCAGAGCTGGCTGTGGTGGTGGCGTCTGATGGAGCCGCTGAGTTTGAGTTACTGGCGTCCAGATCTAGCAAACAACCTGGTGGTTAGAAAATAAAAAACAGAAACATAATGCATATAGTAACAGAAATATAGATGTCGGATATGATGGTTTGTTGCTAAACAAGACAATTACGACGATATCTTTAAAAGGAAAATTCCATTATTTTACAACTGGAGTCTATCGGTCATAGTTCTGGCTTGTATTCCTACAGGTCAGCATAACATTGCACTCACCACTTTCACTGTAGATGCAGGTGCTCCACTGGAAACAGCTTTACAACAATCTCCAATGGTGCCAAGGAAATACAAGCTTTCAACATCGAAATAACTTTCCTCCGACCATCAACGTGACCTTTCATTCTGTATGACTTCTGAGGTTACACTCTGCGTCGAAATGAAACAGCTGCACCGATCTACAACAACCGTGGAAGCAAACCTACAATGCAATGGATTTTTGGGGCCATAATGTTAAACGTTGGTGAGAACAATGCTTTACTAACTGATAGAAAAAAACAACATAAAACCCTTAAAAAAGGCACAAGCATACAAATCATCGTATCTGCATCAAATAACCAAAGATAAAGTGTTAGATAAATAGGCTCTCGCAACCCACAAAGACTGCAGTCAGACAAACAAATACAAATACAAATGGGGGCTACAATATTTAAGTACAAAGCCTTGTTTTGATAAAATGAAGACGGGGTGCTCCCTTCTTCTACCTGTTCCGATGATTCAATTCTGAATTTGTGGAATATGAAATGGACTACACTAAACTAAAGCAGGCTGAGCAGGAACAACAATTAGTCTTCATTAACTTAAATTGTGTTTTCGAAGAAATCCGTCACAATGTTAGATACATTTCTTGTTAAACTCAATGTTCACCGCATCTCGGCCCCTCTCTGTGTCACTGCCGTTGTTGCATTGCTGGCGTATAAAAATTACCGATGCTGTGTTTACGTGCAATCCACATGCACAGGCAAGACACACAGGGCGGGCCTGGGTGTATGACCTCGCCGGCTACCTATACTGTAGTGTTTTTATGAACTACCTACCAGTGTCACTTCCTCCTGCAGATGGCTGTGTGTTATGATTGGAAGATTTGGAAGGAGGTGGGGCTAACTTGCCCCCGGGAGGAGGCGGAAGAAGCCCAAATCCACCAGTACTCTGCGGGCGAGACCTGTCCCTCTTTTTTGATTGCTGGAAAAGGTACAAAGTCAGAGTGAGTATGTGTAGACTGCAGAGAAAACATATCAAAAGGAGATATTTAAAAATGTTTAAATAGTTGTATACTTTTGGGAGGCTCAATCCATCAAACTGTAAGCAATTTTGCTGTTCCACTAATGTTCCAACCCTCGAACATATAAATTGAATGAAAATAGGGTTACCCCTATATTGAGAGTGATAGTCTGTCCTTCTTTGAAGCCCAGGTCCAGTTTAGGGGTGGTGTCTGGAGTCTGCGCCTGCTTCTTAAACTCATCTTCCTGTTTCACCCACCTGGAGAGGACGAGGGGGAGAGAGGCAAAAAGGATTACAAGATAGTTTACCAAACTAGAATAAATAAATTCCCTAGTGAATTAGTTATGATTCATGAGAGTCTATGAAGCAGCTGAATACTTGAAGTGGTCCTGAAGTGCAACATTGAAGTCAAAGGCATCGCCTCGGTCTCCAAACCCGATGCCTATGAACGCACTGCGGCCTGTGAGAGGAATGAACACAACAAACAAAAGGACAGAGATTAGGACGGGACGTGTAAGGTATTACAAACAAAACACACACTAAAGCTGACAGTTTCACAATACCCTCTACACTACAGTTTTAACAGTTTCAGTAGGCGTTCAAAACGTGTTCTAAATCATGAGCACATTTACCAAATATGTATATCTTAGCAACAAACTGTTTACCCACCGTTGTCATCCTGGATGCGGAGCACAAAGTAACGGCTTGAGTCACTAACTGTTTCCACTGTGGTGCCGGGGTACTCGTCCACTGGTGCTTGGGCAAACAGCTCCCCTGTAGGTTAGAACAAAAGAAATATGTTCACTGTCTTTTGGGCCAAAATGGTCCGGTGGGAATTTGGATCATGAAGAGACACAAAAAGAAAAGCCAAAGATACTTTTGGATTTAAAACGGGGACAGAAGCTGAAGCTTTTAAGGATGGATCTAACTTCCAAGATTCAGATTATAAATGGGGCAATATACAGTATAATCTGGGGACAACAAGCATGCAAATACCTAAAATGCACTGGCACAGACAGAAAGAGATTATCACCCTTCAAAATAAACTGCATGCTTGGACGTGGACTGGGTCACCTTGGAATAGATGAGTAACAGAGAAGGGGGAATGGCGAACACACTGAAGTGATTTACAGCAGCGACGGGGCCAGTGAACAATGGCACTGTTCTGTCTGCCTCTTTGCTCACCAGAGATTTTGTCTTCCAATTTGATGGAGGCTAGCTTGCCCCGGGCCGTCACACGCATGCGTCCCGTCCAGTCGGGAGCGTCCAGCTTCCAATCGGCAGCCCTGGGACACACAAACGCACACACACACAGGGAGATGCATTGTCATGTAGGTGATGTGGTGACAGCGGTTTATCGAGACTGATGTTGATACAGAGTAAAAGAAGAAGAAACTGGAGAATCGTTTTTCGGGTGCACGTGTGTGTTACGGTTAGTCCCAACGCTTAGACACACTGTAGTTCCATTTCGGCTATTTTCTATGTAAACAGAACGTGACTAACGCAGACCTAAGGCTGATATATTACATCGTCACCCTTACTCACTGTACATATGGTCACTGGTTAACCAATCATGTGTCTGGTGAGACTCAGGCGTGTGCTACTGTTTGGTTGGTGTGATTTCCACTCAAGATGCAGCTGGAGCACCAGCCAATGAGATGTGGGGTAAACAAATCAACCTCCAGCTTTTCAACAACACAACATCTCCTGCATGGCCACTTGCAAGCAAAAGATGTCTGACAGGACAACACTGTCTGTCAGGTTGATTAACCACATTAAAGCCCCTTGTCATCATACAGCATCGACCCTGCTGAAGTGTCCTTGAGCAAGACGTCTTTACAGCTCCAGGGACGCTGCTCTTGCTTAATACTGTCAGAGAAGCACAATGAGAATCTGTCATTACTGAGCTAGTTCTAGCTATAAAACACTGTACACAGCGTAAGCAGCATCTATCCTCTGTGCCATTGGTCGACAGCACACATAAACACACGGACACAGGTATGTAGCCAATCCATCCCACTTCCTGTTTAGTGGGCTAACGCAGTGCAGGTATAAAGCACAACCGTTATTTACCATGACGACCTTGTTAATACACAGCAAAAAAACAACAACCAGCCCCAAAAAACCGCTGTTGTTGCGAGATTATGGGATGAGCACGGTTGATACTGTAGGTCGCCAATGCAACGGCTCCCAGCGGCTGCGGCTCGTGGATGCTGGGTCAGGAATGTCTCCGTCGGGCCGCTGCTCCTCCTCACTCACCTGATAGCCCGGTTAGACGCTCTCGGTGGGATTCGGTAAACGCTGACTTCGGGTTTGACACAGAGGACCGACTCGTACTCAGCCTGACCCTCGGTCGCCATCTTGACTTTTACTCAGTCGGTGCACGCCGGCGGTGGTGGTGACGGTGAGTGGCGTGTCCGTGCGGCATTTATGGCTACGTTGACCGTAATAGACGGTGTACTTGCGCACAAACTGTCGACCCACCCTCTCACTGCTGCTCTTTCAGTGATGCCCTTAAAGGGGTATTCCACCGATTTTAGGCACAAAGGTTGTTTTACTCATCATGAAGAGTAGCCTGTGTCAAGTCAAGCAAAATTACTCAAGTGACATCAAATGAGTAGTTTTTGGTTTTGTAAAACAACGTATATTACCAACTGGGGCGTGGAGTTTGAAAGAAGTAAAGATATATATTACCTGACAGTAACAAAGAGTAACACAAAGTGACTTGTATAAGGAGCTAACATGTACAATACCTCTGCTGCCTCCATTTCAACCAGATGGCAATCTCTGGGACTGAAAAGAGAAACCAATGCTGAAGTGCCTTAAACTTTCTGATAGCCATCAGGGGGCGGCTTCTCTGGTTGCACAAATAATTCAGATTGTATAGAAGTCTGAGAAATGGACCGTACTTCTCACTTGATTTATTACCTCAGTAAACCTCAGTCTTCTTCAACACAGCATGATGTTCATTTAGTAAATTATGGGCCCATAAAGCCGGGTGCTTTAGGGCCTGGATGGAAACTTTGTGATTGACTGGTCGCTACCACTGTGTTGTCCAGTCTGGGTTTTATCTGCGTTTTTGTCTCAGAAATTATTTTAGTTCATGAAAGTTAATTGCAACAATTTTGGTCCCAAAACATGTTTTATTCAGAGTTTGATTGTACTTAGCTTCACCCTCTCTTATCACTTCTGGTTGCAAAAAAACAAGCGGGCAATGGCCAAAATTCCCGAACTCACATACATATATATACATCAATAACACAAAACACAAAATTATCTTATTCTTTTATTTCATATATCCATATTGCAACAGAATAAGCAAGCAGCAGCTAACGTTACAAGCCTTGCCACAACTTAAGCTATTTTTCTCAGTTTTTCTCATTCTCAGTTTTCGCAGTTGTAGTGATGGACCAACGCCAACATGTCTTTTTCTCTGCAGACTTAATAATAGACTTAATGCTAACACCTGAGGAGGTCAGAGGTATTTTTCACAGTCCGAGAAGCAGGAAGGCATCCCTTAAATCTTCTGTTTCAGAAGGCTGAGAAAGAAAGAAAGAATACATATAATTACTTTTAATTTGACTTACACCTGTTGATTGAAAACAACAAACATGGAGTATGGTAAATGTTCTACCTGGAGGATGCGGTTGAGTTTTCTGGCAAGGCGAACAGAGTTTCGGTGCAGCTCATCCCAGGCCTTGAAGTTGCTTTGCTTGCGATCCACAAAGGTCTGCCAGCAATAGAAGAAGTCTGAAGAGAGAGGAAACAGTTATAAATGATAAAATATTTCATCCAGAGAGCAACCATGATAAGTAAAACAATGGATTTTTAGGTGGAATTTAGCTTGCTTAACTTTCCAGTAGTTTCTGACTCTATAATCACACTCTCTCTTTACATCTCTACCACATGTACACCAATTAATGCCTCCACCTTTGTAACTCATGACTGTGATCTGCACGCCAGCTTCTTTCAGCATTCTCAGGCCGTCTCTTTCCCGGCTGTTCTCCATGTCACAGAAGTAAAGGCGAGAGACGAAGATCCTGAGGCGAAGGTTGGGCGTCCGGCTGAGGAACTGGGTCAAACTGATGGAGCAGTTTATGCAGGGAGACCAGGAGCAGAACCAGGTGATGGAGTAACTGAGCCTCTTCTCTCCAGTGCCTCCGTAACCCCACAAACCAGGGCACAAGGCCCCCAGGTAGCGCAGGAACAACAGCTATAGAGACATAGGAGAACAGGGATACAATCTTATACCCTACTTTCACTTGTTATTTACTCCCCCGAACAGGCCTTTCTCACATGCTTCCCCATCTTGACCCACATTACTTACCTCTACATGGCAGCCACTGCGGTTGCGGAGGTGTCCAAAGTCAAAGGATAAGGAGTCTGGCCCCACTCGCCTCTTCACTACAAAGCAAAGGTAAGTCTCGTGTCGGCCCCTTGCCCAGCGCATGTTCTTGTAATGGTAGATGAACTTTTTTCGGGGCAAAAGCACACTGAGACAAAGGGAGAAAAGGTTGGTGCTCTGATTTTAACAGTCAACATTTCATCAGTAATAATGCAATTCTCAAAAGTGTTGCTGTTCTGTGAATCAACATCTTTAGTGACAAATAATGTTAGTAGTATTCAGAAATGTTATGCCAGGAAAGTCTGTGAAGAAACTCATGAAATTACAATTTAACGTATTATTAGTCAGATGACTCACCCCAATAAGTTAGCACAATAAACTCATGTAAAACCTGCGGTTAACCATATGTGAGCGATGGACAGTCAGAAGACGACTAACATTCACTGCTTTTTTTTTTTTCTCACTCTCAGTTTCACAACTTTTAGCGAAACTAGGACAGTTATTCATCACTAATTAATACGGAAACCTCAATAGAAAACACTCGAAGGTGGTATAGTGCCATTAACAATTTCACTGAGGAATATGTTCTATTGGTATCAAAGTATCAGCACTTGTCAAAAAAACATTTGTTTCATTTGATAGCAAGTGTGTGTAATCTAAAGACGTCTTTGTGAAATAGAAAGACATATATAAATAGATTGTATCCATTTTGCTCACCTGTCTAGCTTTGTAATCATTTCGAAAGAAGCGCTTTGTCACTCGGCGGGCGTGGGTAATAAATGGAGGTAAATGACAAAGAGCGAAAGTGTGTGAGTGTGTGTGTGAGTGTGTGTGTGTGTGTGTGTGTGTGTGTGTGTGTGTGTGTGTGTGTGTGTGTGTGTGTTTGTTGGGGGGGGTTAAAGGGAGGGAACTGAGAACATATACCTCTAAACATAAACATCCTGCATACAGAGGCAGCTTCTGGTTGGACAGATAGATTTTTCAAAGTAAGTTCAGGGGGCGTGATACTAAAGAGATGGATGGACAGAATTGTTTTGCTGCAAAAACAGTTATAGCTATAAATAAAGTACTCAATTTCCAAATTCTATTTAATGATATCATGGTTTTCCTGTGTTTTTTTTTTACATTTTAACATTCGTTCACATGGTGATTGAAGTGAAACCCTTCTTTTGGTACAAGGCCATAAAGGGATTTAATTGGGGAGGCAGATTACACTACAAAGATTTTACTAAACAATCTGAGTGACCACACATGAGAGGAGGACTGTGTGACGTGATGCGTAACCTTTGGAGTTTTTCATAGACGTCAGTAAACTGAGCCAACTGGCTGGAACTTTCCAAACACTTAAGACTCATCCAGTCTCGGGCCCCTCCACTTTAACTTTCCCAGATCATTAAGTAAAAACCTCCAGATACCATCTCACCTTGATCCACAGTCCCGTCCTGCTATTCAGCCTTTCCACCGTAGCTAGTCTCCCCCACCTCCTCGGGGGCCCCAAGATTTGGTGGAGCCATAGGCGTCTCCTGACCTCGAAAGGCCCTGACACCTACTTCGTCCTCTGATCTGGGTTTTCCCAAATTGTGTCAGGCTGGGAGCAGAACTGTAATCGACCTCCCTCACCCTACGTGTGTGCTAGAACGGCTGGCCAGCTGACCGACCACAGTGTGTGGATAAATCTCACTCACGAGCCTTTGAACCGTCAGACGCTGTCATCCGTCCTTGCCAAATCAGGATGTGTATTATTTTGCTCCCGTCTTTTCTTTGCTCTGTCTGTTTTAGCTCTGGCCCAGTCTGCTCACTCAGTGGCACTGCATGCAGGCATCCTGCTTTCCCATGACTCCCCTCACCCTCTCATGCACTCTGTGGTTTGGGGAATTCACCGTTTCCCAGGGTGGCTGTTTTTGGAGCTCCTCTGTGTGTGTGCGTGTGTGTGTGTGCGTGTATGTGCGCACGTATGTGTGTGTTAGCCATCTGTATGAGAATGTCATTAACACAGTCTATATGTTATACATCATCTGGAACTAATTTATCTAATTTATCCTATGATTGTGTGGTGCCCCAAAATGTGGAGTGATTCATGTGTGTGTGTGTGTGTGTGTGCATGCTCTGAGCGACCTCACATCATATTGCATTACTCTGACGGTGCATTAAGCCTAATGTCTCTGCACATTTGAGCTTGTGTGCATGTGTCTTTTCTCGACTTCAAGAGGCTGACCAAATGCCAAACTATATGTAACCACTTCCCACCCAGCTCACTGGGTTTGACCACAGTTGACCAGGGTCATCTCATAGTCACACATGAATGCTCATGTGCACTACCACCCCTCTGATGAGTGTGTGTGTGTGTGTGTGTGTGTGTGTGGTGTAGTAGTACAGTATGGCCAGACACGACTGTGCATTTAACCCATAGTCAGGGGCAGAAACCGGGTGTAGGAAATGCCAAGTCATACTTTCCAAAACCCACCCGCCCACACCCTGCACACGCGCACACAAACACTCACACACAGCCATACCGTGCAGACGCACAAGACCACAGTCACAAACAGACTTTCTTTCCAGTGTGTGAACTCACATCTGTTTCCTGACAACAATAATAGCTACAGATCGGGCGGGTAGAGGCCCAGCTAACAGGTGTCTGCTCTTTGACAGTCATGAAGAAACAACCCCGATGATGACCAAAGAAGTGGCACAAGTAAAGTACAGCTTTCACAAGGTGAAAAGGCCTGACCACACACTTACTCATGCATGTAACAGCACTGTTATGTTACTGGGTGTCTCAGCTTTTTCATCAAAATTAATTAAAGGACAGTGATTTTCCACTACAGCTTGCATGATTGAGTTTGCAGTGAGTGTACAGTAGGCCTATATTTGTCTGCACATTAGGTGAGATATGGCTCCTTCTCACACACATTAAAACTGTACAAACATCCCGTGGTGTTTATCTGTGGCGCATTGATGCTATACTGACATCGCCTGAGGTCTGCAGGAGGTAGATGCGCAATGCGAGTGTGAGAGCTGCTAACCATATTAAGGTTAGCCTCAGACTGGGGCTGTGTGCGTTTCCCCACTTAGTCACATAAACTGCCAGTCACCTGCAAACCACACGCATTCCTATGTCAGATTACCTATGCATATAGTGTATTAAATGTGCTGTTTCAATCTGCAATACAAAGTAGTTTGGAAACAGATATCCAAGTAGATTTCCATTTGTGATTTTGATCAACTTTGTAATTTGTTCAATATTTTAGGGCTGCAGCTAGAGTTACTTTCATTATCAATTAATCTATATTTGTAATTAATAGGTTGATTTAATGATGTTACCACTGCCCAAAGTGAAGCCCTAAAATTGCTTGTAGTAGTTAAAAACTCAAAGCGATGAAGTATATCCCTAAAATATTTATTTAACAACTACAATAACCATTATTTTTTATTTAACAAAGAAAACAAAATGGAAGAAAAGCTGAAGAAAGGGGAGGGAGTGCTGTTCTAGTAGACTCATGTACCAACATACTGTACGTGACAGTGAACGAATTCTGCAGATTCACATAAACCACACATACTTCCTATACAGTAACCGTACATCCTCCTACACATCTGTACGCTTTCACACACAAACTAAGGTGTGCAATCACACATAATTTACTGTGTGGACGCTTTTGAGAAAAGAACCACGCAAACACACATTTTACATAAATATTTTATTTCAGTATAAATGAGAGAACAGCATGACTGTGGCTTCATGGTGTTAATATTACATTTTTACATAACCATTTATTTTTAAAGAATGGAGATGGTACTTTATTTGATGAAACGGTAAAAATATAGTTAAAACAAACAGAACAGCAACACATACAGTAAATAAATACTCACATAAATAACACAAATCTTCAATACATGATCAGCTTAAACAAATATCCAAACATGTTGCAGCAATGACTTGTGATATGGCTTCTTCACCTTTAGCAATTCCAGTGCCTCCTTTTTCTCTCCATGAGTCCATCATCACTCAGTCACAGGTCTTTGTAAAACACTTTAGTGAGGGGGTATCCCAGAAAGCCTCTCTCTGGAGGCTCAAGCTTCCTCTCCTCCTCATCATCTTCTTTTTCATCAGCCCCCTCCCCAAATTGCTGATAGCCCAGCTTCCTGAAGATGACTTCCCCCAGCTTGGACGGGTAAGGGACGTGAGCGTACACTCTGTGAGCGCCAGCCTCCCTCTCTCTCTGCTCCAGACTCTGGACAAGCAGCCGGCCCAGGCCCTCCCTGCGGTACCAGCAGCCCGTCACCAACCTGCAGATCCTGGTGACGTCCGCTCGCTTCTCGCTTTCCCTGAAGACGCAGCCGAGGATCTCGCCATCGCATTCTGCCACCCAGACGCGCCCTGCTTCCTGCTCCCTCTCTGGGGTGACATTCTCTGTTGACACATCTTTGTCCTTGTCTTTGGGTGTGATTCTGCGCCTTGGCTGAGCAATAAAAATATGATTATTTGGCTGCAACATTAGCTCACCCAGAATGAAGTAAAAACTATGCAAAACACAGTCGAGCACACCAGTAGACTGACCTTTCTAGTCCCTGGTGTCTTGCCACTGATCCTGCAGTAAGGATTCACCAGTGTCTCATCCTGTGTCCCTCTGTAGCTGCTACCCACATAGTCCCAGTAGGGCCGGCTGCTGCCCAGAACCCCCGTGGACCGCGGCATGGTGATTTTGAGAAAAATAATTAGCAGGAAGACAGGAATAGCAAGGGCCAGGATAAAGGAATGCACGAGGCAGCGCAGCATTGAGGAGAAAACAGCCAGGATGAAGAGGCAGAGCGGACGAGTGAGGACGTGGAGGATGAGACGGTTTTCTGTGCCCTCGCAGCCCTCCTAGAGTGATGCAAGTTAAAACAAATCAGTACAAGCATCACAAAGAGTGAATTCCCACCGTGATGAAAGCCATTTAAAACTCGTACCAACCTTGATGAGAGCTTTGGCCATCTCTATGTCGTCTTCCTTCATCCTCCTCATCACCACCTGATCCAGCTCCAGCCTCACCATGTTTAGGCTTTGAGCTCTAACTGCAGGGCTGGTGCTACTAATGTTTCTACACACAGGGACCCTACAGAAACACACATCAGAGTACATGGACAGAAGGTTGTCGGCCAAATGCAATTTTGGGATGTTCGATACTAAAATCATGCAGGTAATGGATACTGCTGTAGACCTGATTGGGTTATCTGTACTGAAATGGGTGAAATCTGCTACTTTGCTTACAATGAGCCAGTAGTTGCAATACATCACCCACGTTGGCTCCAAACAACAAAGACAGAGGGGGATTATAAAGGATTTATAGCATGCATGTGTCACCATCACTCATTCTAGCTTGTATTTATCTGCACGGTTAACGGTGATCACCAAAAGGCAACGTTACAGTCGAAAGCGAAAAGACCTCGATCAAACCCTTATATGGTTGTAGCGAATATTTAGACCCCTGCTCGTGCGGTGAACCCCGTTTCCGCTTACCTTCTCCGTCACGCGGCTCAAATTAAACTGAACAGGGAAACACTCTGCACGTCTCTCTCAGTTTTGTTGTGGAGTCCTTGCAGGGTTTGCACGTTTGGTCGGTTGATAAGAGTCGCTTCTTGTGCAAAGGAGGTATTCTGAATACACACGTACTCTGTCTGAGGTCCCGTTTCACGTCTTCAATGTGTCGATCTACGCCATTTGCGTAAGCGCAACCCAAAGCGTAAAGGCTACGTAAAAGGCTACCGCAACGTAACAGCGTAAATGACCTTTATGTTTAAAAAAAACAAAAAGGACAAAATCAAAGTACAAAGCGAAAAAAAAGAAACAAATGATGAAAGGTATTGACAGTTTTATTAATAATGAACTTCTATTTACTATTGACATTATATAGAAAGTGGGCCATGTACAACATTTATTCACAGAAAAACATATTTACTTAATAAACAAACTGCCAATGACAGTATCATTTAAACTAATATATTTCAGAATATTCCGAGGTCCATGTACAGCCTATTTGAATGTATAACATTTCTAGTATGTGGCACCATGGGATTACGACACAGTACTCGTCTAACTGCATGTTCTCCCTCAGCTCCAGGAGAACGCACACTAAAGTGCTAACACACTGAGCCCACAAATAGTGAGGCATCCACTCGCACGCACACTTTCTTCTTCTCCAACCTGCACACTCTCAGAACTGCATCTCTTTAGAGTTGGGTATAGGTCCATTCCTCATTGTGTCCTCAGTTGACGTCTGTGCCTCTGTGTCGGCTGCAGAGCTGTGTTCCTTTGCAGACTTTTCATTCGCCTCAACTGTTAGACTTTCGTATTTCACCTCGCTACTTTGTGAGATCTCTCCATCCCCTCCTCTGTCCATTCTTCCTTCTCTTAAACTACTGGTGCTGACCTCAATTATGACAATTTCCTCTCCATTTCCCAGCTGATATAGGCCTTCCATGGCTCCTCCACCCTCCTCCACCCTCCCGCTTGCAGAATTGCAACTGGCCCCTTCTCCTCCCATCATTCCCCCTTCGCCTATCAGGGCTATCATCTGCATACCTTCCTCAGTGTCCTGCTCCATCTTGGTCTCACCCCCGAGTTCAAACACCACCTCTTGCCCATCAAGTGGCACCAAACTTTGGGTAGGAGTGCAGGAAAGCTGCAGGGTGGTTTCTTGCCCTTGGCTGAAGGCAGCACCAGATGGACCGCTGTCCTGCGCCTCGGTGTGGAAATGGAGGACGTAAGACTCTCCCTGGCTTCCTTCTTCTCCAATCTCTCTCTGCCCCTGCTTTCCTCCCTCCCATTCATGCAGAAGGGACATCATCCCTCTCTTATCCCCCCCTTTTGCTCCTTCACCTTGCTCATCCGTCTTGAACTGCAACACAAGTGATTTCCCCTCCCCGCCCACTCCTCCATCCCCCGCCACGTCTGATGCATCCCCTTCGAACTGTAACACATAGGAGTGCCCACCCTCCTCGACATTCATCCCCTCCTTTGCCCGTCCTTCACTATCAAAACACAACACAAACTGTTTCCCTGTCATGGTATCCCCCGTCCTTATTTGCCCCACTGTGGTGTGAGGTTCCAGAGTAGCCGGAGTAGAAACTGACGATACCGTCGTGGCTGGTGAAACCATCGTAACAGCTGATGAGGGTCCTGAGGTGTCCACTGTGGTGGAAGATGAAAGAATTGGGACAGCAGTGCAAGATACAGTGGTTACAGAAGATGGGAATGACTCTGTGGTTCTGGTCACATTACAGTTCGTTACCGACGGAGCTCCACCTGCTGTCTGACTGACCGGAGCTGCTGCAGACATCTGAAGACTAGCTTTTGGTTTGCGGCCCCGTCTGCCCCGAGCAGTCCGCGTGCTTTTCCCTAATATGGGCTTGGTCAGCAGGGAGTTGGCCGAGAGAGTGCGTGTTGACATGACCACAGGAGTGTTTGCATTGTTGCTATTATTATTGTTGGTGATTATGAACCTGGTCTGCTGCTGTTGCTGCTGTGATATGGCCGGATAGTGGGACATCTGAGTCCGTGTTTGGTTTAGGATAGTCTGAAGCACGGGGAGGGTCTGAGGCTCCGGAGCTGTTGGAGGGTTGCTTGCTGTGGGGACGAGGATCAAGCTGGACTGGCTGCCATTATTGGAGGGGCACTGTAGGATGAAGAAGTTTTGGGGCTGGGACAAAGGTGGTGGTGGCGGTGGAGGAGGTGGAGGAACTGGTGGAGGGGACGAGAGAGGAATGAGCTGCAGGCCGCTGGCTGTCTGAATCATAAAGTAGTTCTGGGAGGTGTTGAGGGGGATATTAAGTGCTGGCTGGGACACAATCAGGCTGCCTTGGTTTCCTGAGGTTTCCAAGGTGATGGGGTTGAGCAGGGTTGTGGTGGTCGTTACTCCCCCAACACTGGCCTTCACAGCCACTCCGTCTTTACCTCCACCACCGGGACAGGGCAGTGGAACGCCACTGCCGTGGGTACGGATGTGCCTCTGCAAGTAGGAGTGCATGACAAACTCCTTGGAGCAGTACGGGCATTTGAAGTCCTTGCTTGAGGAGTGCGTGCGAAGGTGGAGCTGGAGGTTGGAGGAGTGCGTAAAGCTTTTATTGCAGTGCGTGCACTGGAAGGGTCTCTCACCAGAATGGGTGCGTTCATGCTGCTCAGAAAGAAATAACAAAAGAAGAAGAGGAGACAAATGAAGAACAGTTGATGAGATTTAAAAAAAAAAAGATGTATTCCATGCAAAGAAGCTAACAATCTACACGAGATCACAGCTGAATGTGTACCGACGGTGCTGACCTGTTTGAGGTTCGACGTCTGGGAGAAAGACTTTGAGCAGATGGAGCAGATATGAGGCCGCAGTCCAGAGTGCATCTGACTGTGTCTACGCAGGCAGCTGGTGTTCTTGAAGGACTTGCCACACTCCTTACACACATATGGCCTCTCGCCTGTGTGCTGCCGCAAGTGGTACTGATAGTGAGAACTCCATTTGAAAGTGAGAGGGCAGTGAGGGCACTGGAATGCCCGAACGCCTGTATGTACCTGGGTAAAGTGGAAAAAATGTTAATGTACACCTTTTGGTGGATGTTTAAAAAAAAAAAAAAAAAAAAAAAGTATAATCTCTAGTCGTATTTGCCATACAAAAACCTAGAAGTACCTGCTGGACAGTTAGTATCATTATTACACATATAAATACCGTCTTTAAATGTTAATTCTAGTTAGTAAAACTTAAAGAATGCAATGTTGCTCTCTCTAAGGTTTCTTCCTTTTTTTCTCCCTGTTACGCCCCCTGACTTAACAATGTCTGTTTGTCTTTGCAGGTCTGCCACGCCCCTTGACGATCACTGAAGCACCCACACCTGAGAGTCCTCATCTCATCAGTGGAGCTGCATATCAACCCCCGAATCCAGTGCTTCCCAGCCCTCGTTTGTTCACTCTGGGCCTGTGGGTTTGCTGTTGCTGCTACCAAGAGCATTTGTGCTGCCATACCTGGGGTTCAAACTTAATGGAAGCTTTGTAGGGGTTCTCTGCCTTTTATTTTGTAAAGTTTTCTCCTGTTTTTGTGACTAGTTAGGCAGTTCAGTATTGTGTTTGTTTGTTTGTTGTTCAGATGATCTCTTCTTTTCCAGGTAGCATGGGGGTTTTGTTTGTTATGTTGGCCTTAGAGACCCTGACGGCTACGCTTCCTTATTTAGTTGGTTTGTTCCTGTGCATCGATACTGTTAATAAATGTATATAATTGCCGCTTGCCTTATCCTCTTGGTTTTTGTTAAACTTGTGCCAAGATTTTCCATCACCTTTTATATTACTTCCAGTGTACCCCTAGGCACACTATATAGGCCGTAACCTTTTTTTTGGGGGAGTTTTTCCTGTTCCGAAGTGAGGGTCCTGGGACAGAGTATGTCGCATGTGTACAGATTAGCCCTCTGAGGCAAATTTGTGATTTGTGATTTTGGGCTATACAAATTGAATGAAATCCAGTGTTACCATTTCACTGTCTATTCCAATAAAATCTAAATGCAACCCAAGAAAAATGTGTGAAGCATGCAATCGGCAGTTACAACTGAAGGGTTGTGTGATAACAGCCACTTTGTCACAAGAAAGCTTTAACTACAGTGTGTTATTTCATCAAAGGGATTTTTTATCGTCTGTCGTATATTGCATTTATCTGGTGGGATGTGAACCATTACTAGAGAGCTCCCTGTTCACTAGATAAATCTTCATTTCTGGGGTGACATCAATTATCAAATTTAGCTCCCAAATGATGCATCTCTCGTTTGGAAACTCTCCTTGTGTTTCAGTTTCTTGGAACAGAAGCCTTACCCTCTGATGGATTGAAAGCAGAGACGACCTCTTGAAGCTCTTTCCACACTCGGTGCAGCGGTAGGGCCTTTCCCCGGTGTGGTCCCTCATGTGATACTTTAGCCCGGATGAACCTTTGAAGGCTTTTCCGCACTCTGAACAGCGGTACGGCCTCTCTGTATCAAATTGCGTGAAATAGAGTCACATTTTTGAAAATTAAAACAAAAAATAACACATATCAAACCAAAACACATGAACAGATAGCTCAGCTCATATTCTCTATTGTGGAGTCAAATCTCCATTGTAAATGTCTTTACCTCCAGCAGGAGTGTTCTTGCTGGCCACTGTCCTTTTGGGGGCTTTGGCCGGTTTGGCCGGTTGTTCCTCTTGCTCCTCCCCGACGGCGATGATGTTGACGTGGATCTCCCTCTGGTCCTGCTGTTTGTCGGCCTGGCTGGGAGAGGAGGGGAGGGGGAGAGACAGGGAGAGGGAGGCGGGGCACACTATCTCAGCCTCTGCCTCGGCCAGGAGCCGTTGCTCGGGCGTGTGGGAGTGTTGGTGGGTGAGGAGTGAGGACAGAAGGGGGAAGGAGCGGTCGCAGGCGGAGCAGCTGAACTGGGAGCGGGACTGTGATGAGAGAGAGTGCATCTGGACAAACAAAAGTGGAACACAATAGGCTCATATTATTCTGGGATAGATGCATCCAAATGCAATAAATGAATCCCGGTGCTCAATATACAGTGTGGCGCTGAAATTTGCATACCAGTGTCAGTAGAAGAGCAATTGTAACAGTCATTCTCACCAGTGACACATGTCTATTGAGGCCTCCACCAGTCTTGAAGGTCTTATTGCAGTAGCCACATGACAGCCCTGCCCATGTGGTTCTGGCCTCTGGCTGAACGGCCTCAGAGCTCTGAGTCACCTCGGTGAAGCTCTGCAGCAGGTCAAACTGGGCCTGGGTGGTTCCCACATTCTGAGGACAAACCAAAGGAAGTTCTACATATAAATAAAATGTATCTTCAGATCAGACTCAAGCACTGTGTAGGGTGGGTAAGGTTTTTTTAGATTGATTTATATTAGATTAAGCAGGCAAATTAGTGTTTGTCTCTTGTCTTCTGTTCCATACCACATCACAAACAGTAGATCTACTGTACAACATACAACTTCATCTAATCATCAGTCTGAATTGCCATTTTGTTTCCATTTATTTATTTAGCCTGACGAGTTTATGAAGCGTTTATGATAGCTGATGTCTTAAAACCACTCAATAGTGTCATTTAAAATATTTTAAGTTAACACAGAAGCTGTAGCAGTAGCAGTTTCTAGGAGCATCTAATTTAACATCAGTCTAATTGATCAAAGAAATATGCTGATTTGTAAATAAAAGTGAACCTCCTCCACGCTTGTCACCATTTTCCCTGAATGCTGGTAGCTAGCTAGCTATGTAGGACAATGAAGTTCCCATTTCTAATCCAACCTACTAACTTCTAATTGGTCAAGACAGGCGTATATGGGCACAACACCAGACCAAATTCTGAGATGTGGGCGGCGGGAACCAGGCTACAAAAGTCACTTCACTTTCTTCTGTGGAAGGTTTATTTTCTCTTCTTTTCTCACATGTATCTGTTTGAGCCAATCACTTACTGTATTGCTGCCATCTGCTCCCTCCGTCAGATCAAGGAGCACCTCTGTCGTGTGTCCATTTTCAGCCACTGTGGTAGTCTCTACCACCTCCTCAAAATCAGCCAGCAGGTGACCAGCTCCCACCAGCCCGTCCCCAACCTCCATCCCTGCTCCAGGCCCGGCCTCTCCTCCGGCCCCGTGTCCCTCTGGAGCCATGTGGATGACCTGGTGCTCCTCTAGATCTGTCCGGGTGCCAAAGGTGTGGCTGCAGCTGCCACAGCTGTACAGCAGCAAACTGGCCCCGGTGTGTGTGCTCAGGTGAACCTCTGTCCCGATGGCCCTAGAAGCACACACGCCCTCCCCAGAGGAGGTGAGGGTGAGCTGGGGGAGAAGGCTCGGATTCTGCCCGGACGGAGTGGTTGACAGGAACACCTCTTCCATCCCCACCCCTACTCCATCAGTTCCCTCTTGGCTCACAAATCCCACCATGTCCGTCAACATGGACGATGTCACTTCCTCTGCCCCGACCACCACCTCCACTACCTCCATGACCTCATGTCCCTTCCTCGCGTTCTCTCCCCTCTTTCCCTCCCTCCCTCCCGCGTTGAGGTTGGAGTGAGAGTTCTTGTGCAGCGCCAAGTTTGACGAGTGTGTGAAGCTTCGTCCACACTCACCGCAGATGTACGGCCTCTCACCTGTATGTATCCTCATGTGCTGCCTCAGGTTGGTAGACTGAGTGAAGGATTTGTTACACACTGAGCAGGTGTAAGGTTTGAGGCCCAGGTGGACATTCTTGTGTCGCCGCAGGCTGCTTGAGTTCTTGAAGGCCTTGGGGCAAGTGTCACAGGGGTAGGGACACTCTCCAGTATGCTGGCGCAGGTGATACTGGTAATGAGAGCTCCATTTAAAGGTCAGAGGGCAATAGGGGCACAAGAAGGTACGCACCCCAGTGTGGACACTCTGATGGACCTGGAGACAGACAGAGGTACAGATGTGAAATCTCTTGCTCATTTGCTAGCATTTCCTTTTCCCTGATGTTTATAAAATGGCTTTGTTTGACACCTCACCTGGAGCAGAGAGGAGCGTTTGAAGGCTTTGCCACACTCCTGACATTTGTAAGGCTTCTCCCCTGAGTGAGACCTGCAAAAGAAACACAACTGTTCAGGAGAATAACACAATTCATTATACATAAATATGGTGTGAGGCATAGCTTTGACACATAATAAACATAAAAATACATTGCTAGACCTTCTCTTGTGATATGTTGAGTTATACACTGGCACCATAGATGTTTTAAATAAAGGTATGGATCATAAATTTCACATGATCCACACTACTTAGAGTTTCCTGGACACTTCTGCCTCTCCCTCCTATTCACTTCAATCTACAAAATAACAATGACAGCTTCAGGACTCTATTGTACCAATGTTGCAATTATAAAGGTAAAGCGATTTTAATTCTGGGCACCGTTGATGGTAGAGCAGAGCAGAGGAGCCCTTGAAGGCCTTGGGGCAGAGGTTGCAGCGGTATGGTCTCTCATTGTTGTGGCTCCGCTGGTGGTGGGTCAGCCTGGACGACCACCTGAAGCTCTTCCCACAGTCCATACACTGGAAGGGATGGTCCGACTGCTCGGGCTGCTGGGGTTGACCCGACACCGACGACGTCACCATGTCCAGAACCACCTCTTCCCCGCTCTCTTCTACTCCCTTGTCTCCCTCCACCAGCTCCCCTCTGTCCCCATCGTCCTCAACATCCTCTCCCGAACCAAGAAGGGACGGGAAATGAGAGAGGGAGGAGGTGGACTGAGGCGGTAAGAGTTCTGCTTGGACCACTAAGGCCACTGAGTTAGCCATTACCAGCGCAAACTGGTAGCAGATGATGGGTGTTCCTTGGCAGCAGGCGTGGATCAGTTGTGGTGCAGTATCATGGTTTTTCTTTCACCTTTTCTTCATGTTTTCTTCTGTGTCTTTCATAAATTCTTGCCCTGTCAGCCACTGGAAACACCAGCTGTCTTGCCAAGTAGACAGCTCAGAACAGGTCTGAGATGAAGGGAAATGGAAATAAATACAGTATTATAACTTGGTAACTCCAAGTGTGAATGTCCCCTTTAAATCCGACCCATCTCTCCGTCCTCCTGTCAATGAAGCTAGCCCCCCCATCCCCCCCCACCTGCCGTCTATCCTCTGGCAGTCAGTCCGTTTCTGTCCGTCCCCGCAGTGCGGTGCGTTCTAGCAAAACACACGCAGAAGGTTACAGCTGTGTTACACATGAAGCTACTTCATAAGTGTATCCTAATGCGACCGATTAGCTGTGCAAGCAGACAGACCACACGCACAGAAAATATCAGTTTTCACAGTATCAACAAAATCAGCTACTGGCCTGAATTTAAAGCTAATCTAGCCGCCGTCTATGCCGAACATCTCCGTTAAACTGTTCGATACGGATGCGAGTGAACGCAGGCTGGACCGGTACTCACCGCGCATCTTTAACTCATCTTATATTGTTGATATTATGAAAAGGGTACTGGGTACATCAGTGCTAATCCACACAACCTTAACAATAAACACAGCGCAGACTAACAGCAGTTCTCCACCCGATTCCGCCTTCTAAGAACAGCGACGGCGATTGGCTGTTGGCTACTATAGATGCGCTACTACCATTGGCTAAGAGCTTCAACAGACAGATTGACGTTTTTAAACCTCACTTTGAATTATTTCGGACCCCCAAATTTGACGGAAAGCACTGCATCAGTGATGCGTCCACACTCCAACATCTTAAATATCGTAAATATAATTTATAAAGCTTTATTTACAATAAATATGTATCTGTTATGTTCTGACTCTGGCGCACAGAGTTCTGGGTAATGTAGTATGTGTGTGTGTGTGTGTGTCTGCCCCCACTTCCATCCGTCACAGTTAACGTTACATTGTAGGTGGACCATGGTTATCAAATAACATATACTCAAATCCATTGTGCACATTCTTTAGTATTTATTTCACCAAGGCACATATTTCACATTGAGGCCAATCAGTGTGTGGAAGACGCATCTTGATGTAACAACAATAATTTAAACAGGATGGTATAATAATAGTAAATAAGAATAAAAACTGTATAAAAGTACAAAAAAGATTGGAGACTTGCTCCACTGCAGCACAAAATAAATAGTTCCACCAAGTTACTTAAATAAATAGTCAATACTGTAACAAATACTAAATTAGGAATGAAATAATTATAGTGATAAAGTTGGTAAAGTAATCTACATTATATTGTAAAAAAACAACATAATACACAAAAGCACGTATACAACAATTTACATTCTTCTACACTTATGTACACACTAAGAACATAGTGTCACAATACATAGTATTTTAAGGCTTTGGGTGTTAATTAAACTAACAAAAACAAACTTTTCTACCCTGAAGCCCAGGTTCAAAATCAGCCATCTCACTCATCCAAGAGGCTAATGCTAACAGGTTTGTGCAAAGAATCTAATCAGGTCCATCAGTGCTCAGCAACAGGGCATATTCATACAACTTTACCACAACGTTAAATATGCCTCCTCATGCAGAACGCGAGAAACAGGCAACAACAACAGAGACTCTGCCTTTGGTACAAAAGAAAGTATTCACTTCTCTTCGGCTACCATTTTGACATTATCAGATGTATACGATGAATTTCAATTGATATGTTAAGACGTGACACGTTTAACAGGGTTAGAAGATGACATTAACGTCTTCTAAAATGTTTAATTTGAAGGCACTGTAAGTGAGAGATAGTGAAAACATTGGCTGTCCCATATGTGTGCTACATCTACTGGAAGAATTATTGGCTAAAGAAATACACAAATGCAAAGTAGATTAAGTTAGTTTAAACAAAAGTAAGGAAGTGCTACCGTGTTTTTCTTGAGGATCAGTGAGACACAAGACAAAAAGAAAGATTACAGAGATGTGGGCAAATAAATTCACGTTAATACAGAAACAAAGATGAGAGTGACACAACTTCAAATAAATAAAATCAAATAAATTACCAACAGTCAATAAATAAATAAATATATAAATAACATGGTCATGAACAAGGCCTTTAGGAGACAGTTTGGGGAATTGTGACATGATCATCATAGTTAAACTGGCAGTTTGCTTTAACGGGAATCTTGATGGTTGTAACTGGCTGCAGTACATCACATCCTTATTGGCTATGATGGAAACACATTCTTCAACACAAGTGTCATTGGTTGACATTTGGCCTCTTAAGGGATGCTGTTGACTACAGTGCACACTGACATGGTCCTAATTCCCCTTTGGCTGAGGCGGGGCTCCATGTATCCTCACTGGCTATGCCGCCATGTAGTTAAGAGGAAAAGAATGAATGAGCTCGGGTCGTCATTGTGCTACAGAGACTTTGGGCTTGAGGCTGATGAATGCTCGGTATGCCCAATCACAGAAGAGCTTGAAGTGTTGGAGAAGCTCATGGCTGGACTGCAGGACATCAAACTGATAGGGGAGGTGAGGGGGGAGGGAGGGGGTCACCTGAGTCAACCTTGGTGCTTCAACTCTCAGCATCTGTAGCAGAGATGACAGATTAGAAAAACTATTAATTTATTCATTTGTATGCTAAAACTTTAATGGATAAACATCAAGTTAAACATTGAAGACACCTGATGATCAAATGCGGAAACTCAGCTCTTTACCTGACGGTGTAGCAGATTGATGAGAGATTTCATTTCTCTGATCATCTCCACCAGCTTGGGCAGTGCAGGGTGGTGGTGCTTCTTTGAAACCTTGTTCAGCCACTCAAAGTGGTGCTCATACAGCTTCAGGTCAGCATGCAGCTGTGAGAGTGTGGGCTTCAGCTGGAAACAACACAGACACACTTAGCATGGGTGTGGCAAGATGTGACTGTGTGTATAGAAACAAGACAAGCCCCTCTACCCTCACAAGCACACGCATACACACACTCGGAGAGTCACACACAAATACAGAATACAAATATCAGAGCATTACCTCAAGATTGTTGAGGTTATTGGCTGATCTGTTGCTCATTTCTGGCAGAGACCTGAACCTGTGGGGCTCCACATCTGAGTCAAATGCATGCTCCCTCTGAAAGAGAAAACAAGACGCAAAGCAGCCAGTTAGTAATTTGCATCGGTGCTATTTAACTCATCCTGAGACAAGTCAGGGCAACATGAGGAAAGTATTAGTCCAGCACCTCCATCGAATTACTGTTTTCTGTGCTTTGAGACAGTAGCTCTCACTGAGGGGAGTGTGGTTGATCGGGTCAGTGTGAGTTCACCCATATTCAGCCTCCCCAAATGTCAACAATAAGAGCAAATGACCTGAACCCACAGGATGTTTTCTACAGGGAGCGAGGATAACAACATATGCAATGACTAAGAAAGCTCCAAGTGGGACAGACAACACAGAACTGTAGGGAAACTCCAGGGTCACAGCTATAAAAAGAGGGAATGACGCAGTACCGCTGCCCAGCTAGAGTTGTGTTATAAACTGCGTCCAGAGAGCGGATGTAGTTCCCATGGTGGCCACTAGAGGGGGATAAACAACCTGACTGCAGGTTAATAGAGTTCTACTTCACAAAAGGCAGCTGTGCTGTTTATTAGTAGTATTAAAGATGTATGCCTGATTTAGTAATGAATGGGGATACATGGAGATGACTGATGTGGCATGCGTCACTTCCAATCAGTAGAGGAACATAACAACATTAGGATGATGAGTGCTGAGAAATGTTTTGTGTAAACAGGTTGTGTGTGCTTAATGCTTCCTTAACCTGTTATGCAGTGTTTTCCGTGCCCTACTGTTGGCCTCCAGTTGTTTGTGTTGATGTTTTTAGTGATGAATGTGCCGCATTGTCTCGCATGTCTCTCCATCAGCCTTTCGTAAGAGCTCACTCATGTTTGTGGTCCAATGTTTTGTCTCTGTTTGCTTTTGTCCCCTTCCATCCCTCGCTTCCTTACCCTCTCCTCTCTCTCTCCCCCTCTCTGTGTCTCTTACCAGGTGCATAAGCACATGCAACATCTCGTGCACATGTGCATGCATGCACACACATACACCACTGCCTTGTCATCTGGTTGGCTCTCTGATCTCTTCATCTCTTGTGGTTTTTGCTCCATCTTTCTCAGCCTTTAATTCTCCCTCTTATTCTCCTTTTCTTGCTCTCTCTATCACAGATCGTGACCTCACCCGACAGAACCCTTGCATCCAACCTTTTTCTTCCTGAATGCAAATACTGGAATGTGATAAATCTTTTAGATTTTTATCAAGTCACTTTGCTGTGGCGACCAAAAGCAAAACACTAAACACCGCACCTACACAACCATGACTATTTACAGAACCCTCAACGCACACACACACACACACACACACACAGCCACAAAAATGCATACACAAATGCATGCACACATACATTTGCACCCATACTGAATGCATGCAAACACACACACACACACAGACACACACACACACAGTTGCGTCAGAAAACTTATATCGACCTATGTGTGGACACACACATTTTTCTCTCTTAAAGCATCAGTTTCATTGCTTTTTTGCAGGGACTTTCCATGGATTCCTGTTCTATTTATCTTTCCTAACTTTCTCCTCTCTTTAGTGGAATTCCACACAATAAGGAAATAAATTAAAAATAATTCTTCCATGTTACCGAACACTGTCTTCTACTGTCCCCATCACCCTTTAATAAAGCTGCTGTTCACATCTGGACCCCAGGTTACAGACTTCTGCTACACAATGGCCTGTAACATTGTTTTAAAGCAACTAACACACACACACACACACACACACACACACACACACACACACACACACACACACACACACACACACACACACACACACACACACACACACACACACACACACACACACACACACACACACACACACACACACACACACACACTCACACACTTTCAATAACTACTGGCCAAGACTAGAGAGAGTATGTGGCTATTTTTGATTTTATCCCCATGAACAAAAGAGTTGAAAGATTTGCATATTGCAAAAATAGAATCTAGATCAGCCATGTGTAACCGAAGATCCACAGATATGATCCCGCTTTCTTTTCACCTGTTAAAACGCTGTTGATACACAATCACCAGCTGAAGCCAAATCTTGGCCGAGTTCTCAAATCTGATTTTCCTACCTATTTGACTGTCAACAAAATAAAATTTGGAGCCAGCGTTGTCAGTACGCTGCACATTTCATAAGAGAAAAAACTCCAACTCAATCCTCACTTCCACAGTCTAGCCGCAGAACATAAACATGTTTCTATGTAAACAGGCAAGTGATATACTTTGCTGCTATTTCATAGATGGTATGCTTAGCTTAGATGGAGGCAGGTGTTGATATGTAGTTCTAAATTAGTCTTAATGGGTGAACTTATTCCTTGAACTTAATGTTTTGTTTCTCTAACCCCTTGACTACATCACGTATCCTGCAAGACCATCACTGTAAATGTGTCTTTATTCTACTTAATTCTACAAAACTTGATATTGATTTCATTGCACCTTCACTGGCCTGCATGGCCACCAATCTTACTGCCACCAGTCAGGTGAGCAGGCAGACCAGGAGGTTGCTGAGTCAGACCTCCCCTCCCTACAGAGTCCAGTGTGGATTAAAAGTGAGATCACTGAGTCAAATCTCCCCTGAGGCTTTCAGCTGCCCTGATCTGAGCATGCAGCCAGTCTGTCACCAATGAAAGCAGCTTAAGTCAAAGTGAGGACCTGAGCACACCTCGTGTAGTTTGTGCACGGTGCAAAGTTAGTGCTGTTACCCAAACTGAAAGGTAACATTAGCACCTCAATCCAATTAGACAGAGATCAATCAAGACAGGTTGTGCATCCTCTTCCACAATCACACTAACAATTCAATCAGCCTCATTAGCCTCGCCTTCAATCAATAGTTGTGATTGGCAATCACCATGACGACATCTTCACTTACCAGCAGTTCTTGGGTGAGCTTCATTAGATTTTTGGTCTGATTGGACAGTTTGTCCATGTCAGTGGGCCGCCGCTGTGGTACTGGAGAGGCATTCGTGAACACGGGCAGCTGAGCCAATAGCAGCGAGAAGAGGAGCGACGAGGAGGAGTCGAGCAGCACTGCAGGGGTAGAACAAAACGGAAGCAATTAGTGGAGAGGCGCTGTCATCTCGCTATAATGATAATGACCTCAGGCCACGGCTGTCAGCTCCAGGGGAAGATACTGCACCATAATATAAACAATGGCTCCAGACTTGGCAGAGGGATCCTCAAGAGCTACAGTGTCAGAGTCGTGTTTACACAGGCTGAATGCAAATCATTAAATCATTAAAAAGCCGGGCTTTGACACTGAATATCACAATCACTCCTTTACCATAAGCAACTGCAATGAATGCTGCTGATTGTCACACCTGCAACTGGATAGGTACATGAGTTGGTGGTATAAATTATATGGACCCAGCCAAGGCAACTCTCTAACAGTAAGCTCATTCATTCTTTTTCCTTTCAAGTTCAAATACAAGGTAGACTAAGTATGAAAAGGAAACCACAGTGGTGTTGAAATGATGAATGCTTGATAATTACAGGTGAACCCACAAGAATCACAGCCAAAATAACACTGCAGGAGCATCTCCATGTCCTAGTGTAACTTTTGCAGTTTGGGGATCACCAGAGAATAAAGTTGTCCATGCTGAATGTTCAGTCATTTGTGAGTCAATTGTTTAGAATTTAATCTGAATAAATAATTAAATTGAGCCTGTAGCAAAGCAACGATCAAATATCTAGTAACAGTAACAATAACATTTAGAAATAAAATATAACATGTACAAAGAAACTACAATAAAGAAATTAGAAAAGCACACTCATACAAACACTTACATTTCATATTTGGTTCGGATCCAAGGGATAGGTCAACCAGCAAACAAACGGTGGATAAATAAATAAATAGAAAATGAAGAAATAAATTGAACTCCGGAAACTGTCACGTGCTCCGGTTTCTTCTTCGCACTCCTCAGTCAGAGCGAGGAGGAAAGTTGTCAGGACGAGAGAGGATGAATGAGAGAGCAGAGTGATGACTGAAGCACTCACACAGAAAAAGGACGGTAAAAGTGATCAAACTTTCTGTCTTTGGTAAAGTTTGAGATGAGTCCTTGTAGTCTTTATGGAGTGCTGAAGACAGAGAGACACTTGGACAGTTTGGAGAGAGAGAGGCAACAGAGAGGCAGAGAGAGGGATGCGAGTGTGGTAAGTCCAATTTTTGCGCGCAGTGAAGTGTTTAGGCTTGTTTAAAACTTCCTTTATAAAGACGTCGGGCCTATGACACATCCGCAGTGACTCACTTCATTCATAAAAACACACACACACACACTCACACACACACACACACACACATACACACGCACACACACAGACACACGCTCTCTCTTTCTCTCCCTCCTCTCTCTCTCTCTCTCTCTCTCTCTCTCTCTCTCTCTCTCTCTCTCTCTCTTTCCTCCTCCCCTCTCTGCTGCCCGTCTCCCTTTGCGAAACTTAAAAAAAAATGTTCCGTTGTTTTTTTTTTCCTGTTTTTTTTCTTTCCTCTATCACTTTCTCCCGTCCTGTCCTATCTCCAGCACTTCCTCTGTCGCATCCCGCTACCTGCGCCAATCAGTCCCATCTACCTCTTTTTTTATCTTTCCATCTCCAAATCTCTTCCCCCCTCTCTCCCTCTCTCTATCACAGCAGACTTTAAAAAGGCTATTGTTTTCATGTGTATCAGCGTATCTTATGTAACCATGTATCTATTTGAGCCCTGTCTTTTTCTTGTGGTGATGTGTGCTGTGTTCAAGGGTGAAATGTCACAGAAAGTGTGTTCTCGCCTGAGTTATTTCATTTATGGCAGTGCTCTTTTAGGTTACACATGCCACATTCCCTGTATCATAGCTAATACGCACAGCAAACACCTTTTCTCCCCCCATATTTCTCTCCCTCCTTTTCTCACCCCTTGCTCTTTTTTTTCAGAGCCCCTCCTGAGACAGCAGCCTGTTATTTCCACTGCCCCCCCACCCACCTCCTTCTCTTTTTTTCACTCCTTCTCTCCCTCTCCAGGGTGAAGGAAAGAGTGAGGAGTGAGAGACGGATAGGAGCAGGAGAGAGGTGTTGTCCAGACCAGAAGGGGCCTCTGAAAGTGTTGCATAGAAACAGTGAGCGGACACACACACACTAATATATATATATATATATATATATATATATATATATATATATATATACACACACACCACAGGACATTAACACAGACACACACGCTTGAGGGGTGGGAGGTGGTTGGTGGGGTCAACACAAAACACACACACACACACACACACAAAACATGCACTTGGATGCACTCACACAACATACGCTGTGTCATAATAAAACATGCTGCTCTATTGAAACAAAACACACCAAAAAGATGCTTTCTAGCTCAGAAACATGCAAACACATAACAGTGTACTGTACACACATCAACAGGATTTCTCACAAACGCTCTCCTTTTCACACACACTCGCACACACACGCAAGTAGAGTGGGGCAGCCTGGAAACACTCAGTCAGGTGCAGTAAAGCGTGGCCTACTGTTGCAAAGGGCAAAAATGAGTTTCCAGGCATCACAAGGGGACAGTTGATGCATCATACTGTACACTGTAAATCAAAAGGAAGTCAATAGGTGCGTTTCCATCCACCTGTGAAAAACTGAGTGAAAACGCTCAAAATTGGGTGAAAGGGGAAAAACGGTAGTAGAACGTAACATCAGATCTCTGTGGAATGTGAAGGAGAATGTAAACCTTCCTCAAATCAATTATTAAAAAAACATAAATGCTCATATTTTCAAATTTTTCCCCACCATTTTAAGTTTGATTGGCCTTTAATTGCATCATCGCGTTGCACCCTCTTCTTCATCAATAGTCCTGCACCTGACATCATGGGAATCAGCTCCAAGTACTGCTTATCTCAATGAACCAAGCCTTAATATTTGCCCAACAGTAGAGACGTGCACATGCAGTTTGTAATGCCGATTTTCTGAAAATTTGTGTTACATTTGGATGGAAAACTGACTACATACCAGACGGCAACCTCCAGGTCCAAAAAGTGAAGCTAATGTAGAAGTCCCTTAAACCTGCATTCTTTCTAATATCCAGCAGGGGGCAACTCCTCTGGTAGCAAAAATAAATCCGATCGTATAGAAGTCAATAGAGAAAATTACTCTTCTTCTCACTTATTACCTCAAGCTGTTAACACGAGTTTATGGTCTCGGTCACTTGTTTCAGGTCTCCTTAAATACAGCATGATGTTCCTTTGGTAAATTATGTTCCCATTTAGAGTAAAATAGGAAATAAAGCAGGCTATGTTTTAGGGCGTGGCTACCTTGTGATTGACAGGTCGCTGCCACGGCATTGTCTGGTCTTGGAGTTGTCCGTGTTTTTGTCTTAGAACTTTAACCCTTTCACAAAGTGTTTTCAGTTCATGGAAGTTCATTGTAACATTTTACATTGTCTTATTGTCTTATTCAGGGTGAGGTTGTACTTAGCTCCACCCTCTCTTGTCAACTCTGGTGACAAAAGAAAAAGATGTCAACGGGCAAAAACCAAGATGGCGACGGCCAAAATGCCGAACTCAAGACTTCAAAACGGTAGTCCACACACCAATGGGTGACTACATCACGGTGACTACGTCCACTTCTGACATACAGTCAATACAGACACACACACACACAAAGGGAAAGAGAGAGTGAGAGAGAGACCACTGAAAAGGAAAAAAGCGTTTTTTGAGTCTGGGTGTGAGATTAGGAGACCCTCATTCGCAGACATACACTCATGTGTGGTTAGAAAATAATTAGTGGTGGGCCTTGTATGCGCACAGTCGCACACTCATACACATATACACGTATACACACAGAGTTGCCAGTCCAGTGGCGGGCCAACACAGACAAACAAACACAGTCCAAATGATGAGGGCCCGGTGGCTGCGAGTGGGTGGTAGAGTTGTTGTGGTGAAAAGGGGCCATACTCTGTTTTCTCCGGTCAACAGTAGAGAAGAAAAGCAGGAGAAGGAGGAGAGGAAATAGATGAGTGAGGTTGGACGTAGGGAGATATTGACACACTCGCTCTTTTTAATTTCCCACATCAGAGGGCCGTTTGAAGACACAGCTGGGGAAAGAAGAAAAGAAAAAGTGATGTTAGTCACTCTCCCTCGTTCCCTATGGGCTGCCTCTCATGATGGGGGTCTCCTGGGTGGTTCTGAAGCACACAGTCTGCTGTTAGGCCATCCGCCAGCGCTGATCACTCACACACTATGACACCGGGTGGGTGCCCTTTAAGTGTGCGTGTCTGTGGGTGTGTGCACGTACATGGATGTTAGTGTGCAAAAATCAAAAGGGTCATGTATCTTTGTTTAGACTTTTTGTGTTTGTGTGTGAGAGAGCAAGCACACACTGGTGCATGCCTGTTGGAAAAGGGGGAATCCAGGGTTTGTGTGAATGGGTGTGCGTACAGTGTATGTGTGTAATTATGGGTGGTGTGGTGGTATAAGTGCGGTGTCTGTATAACGTGCATGAGCATCAGTGTTTGTGTGTGCGTCTGTGTGTTTGTGTGTGGCCTTCATATGCTACCCATTACATCACCAATCTGTGTAAACCACCATAGGAGGAGAAACAGAGTGAGACACTCAGACTACGACCTCAAAGACATCAGAGAGGAAGGGGAACCTGTGACAGGGCCTGCCAGGCCACGCTGCCAGACAAACTTTACTCACACAAGCTTCACTCAATTCGGTCATGCTTTACACTAGGTTTCCTGTGCGCCATGGCATGTATTCACACATTATTACACAGGCTTCAAATCATTTGAATGCCTCTCACTCTTCGCTCACCTTTTGCCCGGCTGTTAATTCGCACAGTTGCTCGATTCATTGGTTTTTACCAGAGTCACTTTAAAAAGTTTGATTCAAACAAATTCAGAATAAATATTTGTGTAATCTTCATAGTTTATTTATCTGACAAGGAAGCGATTGAGCATGAATGGGTTTTTTTACATTGGGAATTTTTCTTCACTGTGTACTTGTGTGATCATGGTTGTGTAGTTTGATTATGAAACATCAGCCAACTCTGATCATGCGGGTTTTCCCATAGACGTTTGCAGCCTTGGGTTAATTTCCATGTCCAGGTGGGTGATAAAGTAGTCTTGTGGATTTTAGGGTTAACTCCCGTGTTCTGCTTACCTCAGAGTCTCATATGTAAACAGTGAATTTGTTGGCTGTGACGTAACACTGCTCCGATGGTAAAAGGGATTATGGGAGAAGGAGTAGTAATAAATTCATAATTTTCATGTTGCACCCTCATTTCCTCTAGGGAATTCCAGCAAGGCCTGAGTAAACAGATGCAAAGATTACATTCAAAGGGAAAACCAAAGGTCCGACCTTTTACTGTTAATATTTACTCTCCTATAACAGGACACTTTCAAGTTTACCCATGACCTCCTCCACCACCTCCTCTTCTTCCTCTCTGCTCCGTCATTTTGTCCCCCATTCATTCTCTCTAGCTCGCTGCCAAGTGTGTGTCTCCGGCTGGGTATCCTATCTGGGGAATCGTCATGGTAACCGTACCCTAACTTGCTACCCCCCCCCCCCCCCCCCCCCCCCCACCCCCTCCCCCCCCCCAGCTTGCCCCGTTACTTCAACCTACGTCAGAGAGCAAGTGAGTGTGTTAATAGTTCAGGGGGGGGAGAAATAGTGACACACAGGAGGGGGCTGCAATAAAGTGACGTCTATGACTCTCTCTTTCTCACTGTTGGGGATCGGTGTTAAAATGCTGTTGTCCTCTTTCAAATGGATCTATGAGAAGGGACGCTCCTCTCAAGCCCCCTTCATC